ACAGCAAGAAGGGAGCATGAGCGAGGTAATATCCAACGTAAGAAGCTGGAAAAATGACAGTAAACCAAGTCCAGAGAAGTTATGAGAAAGGAAATAGGGAAGATAAGAGCAGGTATTGATGAAATTGAATGATGAGCCATGGCTACATAGAAAGCCACAGGAGAAGGCAGGTGTCTGGCTTTGCCACCGTCTGTGTGATGATGGATAAGTCACTTGCCTTCTCTGGATTTTAGTTTTTTTATTTCAGGGAGAAAAGCCTAAGGGTTACCCACCTTCCGGGGGGACTTGGGGATTACATCGGGAAAGTCGTGGCTGCTCTGTATTAAAAGCATCAGCTTTGCCAACAGTCTGCAAGGTTCACTCAGGCGTTTCTCTGGTGATCATAGTTTCAGGGGCTGTGTGAAGGGCTAGGAGGGCATCCCAGCCTGTGATGCATATTTACTACCATTCTGTTCAGCAGGTATTTACCACAGGCTCAAAACCCTGTGTGGTTCACTCATTTGGTTTTCTAGGAATTTCACACAGTTCCCTTGGTCTCTAGTCATTGCTCCTCAGCTCCCCATTGCCAGAGCTTATCTTCATTAGGAACACTCCTTAGGGAAATTCTTACTTTCTGGTCCTCAAAAGGGTGCTGACATTTGTCAGTTTTTGCTGGTGACACTGCTAAGCTCTGTTGTGTGCTGGTGCTTCATGCCTCCTCGTATTGAGTATGTGGCTGGGAAATGACTGCCATTCGGCACAGGACAGGGAGCCAGCCTCCCTCCTTCCCCATCCTTCCCTGCTCCCTCTCTTTTTTCTCCTTGTTCTGGGCGTCCAGCCTTCCCCACGGCACACTCGGCATGCAGAGATCTGTGGTCCTTAGTGTGTTGGCCCAGGTTTCATCTCTGGGAGCCAGAGCTGGCATTCCCCCATGCCTGCAGGCTGCCCCACACTTGCTAGAGTGCAGAGAAGACATGCAGTCCTCATTTCTTCCCTGGAGCCAGGATAAGGGTGGAGCGGTGATTTTGCTTTTCCCCTGCAGTTTTATCCAGGGCTTTGGAAAGCTCTAAATGATACCAGCTCAGAAACCTCTGCTGGTTATGGGGAGTGCCCTGGCCTTGGAGGTGTGGCTGCAGGATGCCCCAGAGAGGAGGAGGCTGTCAACAGTCCCACAGCCTGTGCAGCACAACCTTGCTCTTTGCCCCACCTCTCGCTCAACCCCTGGCATCAGCCTACAGTGTTAATATCTCTCACGCAGAGTCAGGACATTATAGGGAAACTGACCTCTCAACCAGAGCCTTGTTTGGTCAACACGATTCAATAGTCATCTATTTCAGGCCCAGTGTGGTGGCTCACGCCTGTAATCCCAGCACCTTGTGAGGCTGAGATGGGCCTCAAGATCACCTAGGTAAGGAGTTTGAGACAAATCTGACCAACATGGCAAAACCCTGTTTCTACTAAAAATACAAAAATTAGCAGGCATGGTGGTGGATGCTTGTAATCCCAGCTACTCAGGAGGCTGAGGCAGGAGAATAGCTTGAACCCCAGAGATGGAGGTTGCATTGAGCCAAGATCATGCCACTGTACTTTAGCCTGGGCAACAAGAGTGAAACTCCATCTCAAAAATGAAACAAAATAAAACAGTCATCTATTTCAGGGAACTCATCTCTGCCGTGGCATTAGGGGTACAGAGGCACTAAGGGCATGGGTGTCTTAGGCCCTGCTCATTATAAAGGCAAATGTAGTAAGACTGTGGCCCTCCTCTGCTCAGCCCCACCACCGGGCTTCCATGTCACCCAGAGAAAACTTAGTCTTGGCTGTGACTTCTCCGGCCCAACACACTCTCACCCCAGCTGCATGCCCAGATTCCCTCTCACCCCACCCACTCCTGTCCTCCACCCTGTGTCTGATCCTTCCAGAGGGTCTGGGGTGCTATTGATGCCTGGGAGGCCTCTACCTTAGATCCTTTTATGAGGTACCCCAGCCACCTTGTCCGGGGCCTGGAGATCTCAAGGACCAGCAAATATGCAGTCAGTGAATGAGATGAATGGACACACCTTGGTGGGCTGATGGCCCCGAGGAAAGAGCAGAATCTCTGTTATCAATCCCAGTTTCCCATTGAAGGCATGGTTCTGAAGGGCTGGGTGACTTGTTCATGGTCACGCAGAGAGCAGAGTGGGACAGGCTGCTGAGAATCACCTTCTGACTTGGAGTCTGTGCTTGCTCAGACCTCCCTCTGAACTGCTGGTGTTGTGTTTCCCTGCATTCGTTTCTGGGTTCCTTCATGCCCCACGCCTCCACTGAAGGTTGAGTGTGTGCGCAGGTGACAGGGCCACCACCATCCTCACCTTGCTCCCAGTCCAGGGAGGAGAAAGATGAGTGAAGAGTGCAGACAGTACAGCCAGGACATCGGGGAGCCAGGAGAGGCCCCTAACTCGCCCCAAGAGTGGGCAAAGCTTCCTCCAGGAGGCAGCACCAGCTGAGCCCTAGAGAATGAGTAAGAGCCGTCGGCCAAGCAGGGTGGAGTGGTTTTCTGGACAGTAAGGACAGCCTGAGCTGGGGCACAGAGGTAGGAGAAACTATGACCTGTGGGTCACTCATGTTGCTTCAAGGTACAAAGTATCTGCTTTACCCCATAGCGGGGATTTATTCATGTAACTGAAAAGTCAAGATGTGGAGGGGAGAGGGGCTACAGGTCGGACTGGATCAGGGCTTTAGCAGCTTTTGTTTGGGCTATTCAGCTCTAGTCTCTTCTACACAAGCTAGCAACATAGCCAGCAGGATGCTCCACATGTGAACAACAAGCCATCCAGAGCAAAACAAAGTTTATTCCCTCCCTACCAAAGTTTGACTGGATGATTTAAGGCATATGCCCAACCCTGGATCAATTACTAGGGTAAGTAAGAGGTGGGAAACCTCCGCCAGTCAAGTGAACTGAGAGCCTACCTGAGATGATGCAGAGTTATTCTTACTCAAATTACAGAACTGCTCCTTGATGGGGGCAGGCTGGGAGACAACTGGATGGGATGCCTGTGGACACCACCAGGTTATAAACGAAATCTAGGATGTCGTGAAAAGTGAAAAATGGAGCAGAGGCCGGATAAAAATGACATTGCCAACTGGGCTGCAGAGCTCAGACCTCAGCCTCTATACACTGGGCTTCTAGTTTGGGAAACTGTAGGGGGCTGCACCCACGCATCTTGAGCTAGATGTCTCCAGAAAGTCGCTGTGGATTTAATCTGGTTTTGGGGCTCAGACTTATCCTCCATACGTTGGGCTTCTAGTTCAGGAAGTGGTAGGTTGCACCCAACACGTCTTGAGCCCTGGGTGGTTCCAGATAGACACTGAGGATTTAATCTGGTTTTTGAGCTGCCCCCTTTTTACCAAAAGGTGATCAATCTCCCTGCAACTTTAATTTTCCTAGAAAAAAAATACCCTGCTGTTGACTCTCTATACCTTGAGGATGGGGAAGAACTGATCAGACAAATAGAGGTGGGGGAAGCATTCCAGCATTCCAAGCAAAGACCAAAGAGGCCATGCCCCAGTGCAGAGGCATAACTGCAGTTGTACCAGACAGAAATCCCAAGGCGTCAGTGAGATCCGGGGGGTGGGTGGGGTCTCCAGTGGGCATTTGAGAAGTACACATTTGCTTTCTTCAAAAGAATACTCATCCCTGGGCCAGGCGTGGTGGTTCACGCCTGTAATCCCAACACTTTGGGAGGCCGAGGCGGGTGGATCACGAGGTCAAGAGATCAAGATCATCCTGGTCAACATGGTGAAACCCTGCCTCTACTAAAAATATAAAATATTAGCTGGGCATGGTGGTGCGTGCCTATAATCCCAGCTACTCAAGAGGCTGAGGCAGGAGAACTGCCTGAACCCAGGAGGCAGAGGTTGCGGTGAGCCGAGATCACACCATTGCACTCCAGCCTGAGTAACAAGAGCGCTGTCTTAAAAAAAAAAAAAAAAAAAAAAAAAAAAAAAAAAAAAAAGAATACTCACCCCTTGCTCTGTATCCCTCCAGCCATAGTAATCTGAAGACCAATTAACAAGACAGGTGTCAGCTCCAGGGCAGAGCCCCCACAACCCCTGTTCCTGGTCCTCCAACCCCTCCAGATGCAAGGAATTCACGCACTGTGAATTTGGACTGAGATCCTGCTTCTTCCTTTCCTTAGGCAAGCCATCTAACCTCTCTGAGTCTCCATTTCTTCCAAGACAAAGACAGAAACTAGTATCTAGCTGGCAGGATATTCTGAGGATTATCTGAGGAGCTGGGTGTGCTTGAATATATCGTCCTGTCAGCTCTCAGTGGACCACCAAAGAATATTGATTCATTCATATGTTGAAGAAGGAAAGTTAAAATTTCACAATGGCCTAATAAACACCAGAAGCCCAGTGTACATCATTTTATCTCATCTTTATAACCATCCTATAAGTAGGGGTGTTAGTATCCCATTTTACAGAAGAAGAAACTGAGGGACAGGAAGGTTGAATAACCTTCCCAAGGCTCCACATCTAGGAAATCAGAACTTGAACCTGGCCTAAATCCCCTTCTATGGAACTGAGGCCAACTGGCAGAGCTTGAATGCCCAGGTAGGAGGAAACCCGGGCCACTCTGTAAGCATACCATTGTTGTGCTTGTTGCTGAAATCCAAAATCTGGCGGAGAAAGAAAGGCAAGTCACATGATTTAACAATCCCTGTGCATATTGTACCTACATGCGTCACGAGCTCATTTGACAAATGTTTGTTGAGTGTGTCAATGTGGTAGGTTCTGGTTGTTGGAAACATGGAGGGGATGCCTTCTGCACCCCATAGTAACCTTGCAAAGAGATGATAACATGCATTTTATGCATGCACTGAGGCTCACCAAGGTAGATAAACCATCCAGAGCCACCTGCCAGGTCGGCATGACACCAGAAGGAAGACCACAGAATGCATCCTGGTGGAGATGTGGAGAGAAACATTTTTATAGCAGGGTCACAGAATCTCACTCTGTTTTCTTCCTTCTTTTCTCTGCAGATGACAGACAACCTTCTGTGCCTTCATTAAGCTGGTCGTGTAACCACCATGTGTCTGGTGACAGCATGGGAAAGACAAAGCCCTAATTAAGGATCATCAGAAACCACAGTTGGAGGAGGACAGCAGAGACAGCTTCCGTCCCCGCTATACCAAGACCCTTCCTCCAAGGTCTCTGCTCCTGAGGAACCCTGGACTGTCACAGAGATTAATTACCCCTTAGCTTCTTTGAATGGGAAAGGAAATCACTGGGTAAAGCTTTATCAGGAGACATTATCAGCTCTTTAAGGATTGCAGAATAATAAGCTACTTTATTTTCTGAAAAGGTAAATATATACAAGCAAAGCCAACACGCCACTAATGGCCTTCATCTGCTACACAGCGGTGTCTGGGACACACTGGGGGTCGTCCCCCAGTGGGAGTGAAGTCGAGTTTAACGGCCCTTGAGTCCACCATTGGAATTCCTGCCATCCCTTCTGATCGAGCCTCCACCTCTGGGATTTTTCTTCCATATTTCTCCTCTCTTAGGAGGGAGTTCCTGCCGCCCATCGCAGGGAGGCCGCCATCAGGACAGAGAAGATGGTGACCCTGCGGAAGAGGACCCTGAAAGTGCTCACCTTCCTCGTGCTCTTCATCTTCCTCACCTCCTTCTTCCTGAACTACTCCCACACCATGGTGGCCACAACCTGGTTCCCCAAGCAGATGGTCCTGGAGCTCTCTGAGAACCTGAGGAGGCTGATCAAGCACAGGCCCTGCACCTGCACCCACTGCATCGGGCAGCGCAAGCTCTCGGCATGGTTCGACGAGAGGTTCAACCAGACCGTGCAGCCACTGCTGACCGCCCAGAACGCACTCCTGGAGGACGACACCTACCAGTGGTGGCTGGTGAGACGCCGCCTGAGAGCAGGGTCTGGACTGAGAGGGGGTTCTGGACTGAGAGTGGGGCTTCTGGGCTGAGAGTGTGGGATCTGGGCTGAGAGAGGGTGGTCTGGGCTGAGAGTGGGGCGTCTGGGCTGAGAGTGAGGGGTCTGGTCTGAGAGTGGGGCGTCTGGGCTGCTGGACTGCGAGTAGGGCATCTGGGCTGAGAGTGGGGCGTCTGGGCTAAGAGTGAGGGGTCTGGATTGAGAATGGGGTGTCTGGGCTGAGAAGGGTTGTCTGGACTGAGGGTGGAGGGTCTCGGCTGAGAAGCGGGTCTGGACTGAGTGTGGGGGCTCTAGACTGAGAATGTGGGGTCTGGACTGAGAGTGGGGGGTCTGGGCTGAGAATGAGTGATCTGGGGTGAGATTGGAGGTCTGGACTGAGAGTGGGGGTTCTGGGCTGAGAGTGAGGGGTCCGGACTGAGGGGGGGTTCTAAACTGAGAGCAGGGAGTCTGGGCTGAGAGTGGGGGTCTGGGCTGAGAGTGGGGGGGTCCAGGCTGAGAGTGAGAGGTCTGGACTGAGAATGGGGTGTCTGGGCTGAGAAGGGTTGTCTGGACTGAGAATGGGGTGTCTGGGCTGAGAAGGGGGTCTGGACTGAGAGTGTGGGGTCTGGACTGAGAGTGGGGGTTCTGGGCTGAGAGTGAGGGGTCTAGACTGAGAGTGAGGGGTCTAGACTAAGAAGGGGGGTCTAGACTGAGAGTGAGGAGTCTGGGCTAAGAGTGGGGAGTCTGGACTGAGCGTGTGGGTTCCAGGCTGAGAGTGGGGGTTCCAGGCTGAGAGTGGGGCCTTGGCTGAGAGTGGGGGGTCTGGACTAAGAGTGGGGGGTCTGGGCTGAGGGTGGGGGTCTGGGCTGAGGGTGAGGATATAGTAATGAGAGTGAGGCACTCCCAGAGTTAAATAGCCCCCGTGTACACCTGGGGCCCTGCTAGGCATTTAGCAGGATTCAGATAATTGTCCAACACTATTTATTGAGGATCTGTTATATCTAACTCAGCAGGAAGCACAGCCTTAGTTTCCCGTGGCTGCCATAACAAATGTCTGCACACTTCATGGCTCAAAACACCGGCAGTGCACACTTGCGCAGCTTGGGAGGCCAGAAGTCTGAAATCACGTTATGGGCAGGCTTGGTTCCTCCTGGAGGCTCTGAGAGGGAAGCCGCCCCAGGCCCCACTCCTGGCTGCTGCCGGCTGCCGGCAGTGCCGGGCATTCCCGGGCTCAGGGCTGCGACAGTCCAGCCTCTGCCTCTGCTTCCACAGGGCCTTCCTCCCTGTGTCCCTTTGTGCCTCAATTGTCCCTCTCCTTAAGAGGACACCTGTCATCAGGTTTAGGGCCTACCCTGAATCCAGGTGGATTTCATGCAGAGATTCTCAACAATTTCACCTGCAGAGGCTCCCTTTTTCCTTATGTCCTCATGTTCACAGATTCCGGTGAGTCGCACTTGAACTTATCTTTCGGGGAGCCACTATTTCACCCAGTACCATTACTGAAATGCAAAGAGAGAGAGAGAGAGAGAGAGAGAGAGAGGAGAGAGAGATCCTTATTCTCATGGAATTTTATTTTGGCTGGGAGGGGAAGATAAGAAATAAACAGGGTAGGCTCACACAGAAGTGCTGTGAAGAAAGATCAAATGAGGTTTATAATAGAAACTTAGAGGGGGCTTCTATAAATGGGTCACCAGGGAGGTCTCTGGGACAGCAGTACTCAAGTGGAGACCCACAGGCAGAGAAGGCAGCAGCTGTGAGAAGGGCGGGACCGTGAGTGCCGGAGCCCCAGCGTGGCCTCTGCTGGATGTGCTGGGGGAGTGGAGGAGCTCTGCATGGCTGGGGGCTGTGAATCAGGGCGGTGCAGTGAGTCGAGGCCTGAGAGTCAGCAAGACCCAGGTGAAGACTCTGGGATGTCTTGTAAGTGCAACAGGAAGTCACTGTGGAATTTTTACAGGGAGATTCATGATCTGAACTTGTCATTTAAAAGGTCATTCCCATTGTTAAATGCAAAACAGATTGAAGAAGAGCAAGTTACATATGTTCATTTCTTATTTATTGAGCCCTACTATATGCCAAGCACTACTACATTGAGATGGAAAACATGATCTTGCTTTTCCTGGGTTGCAGGAGTGATGGGGAGGAAAGGGAAAACAGACAATTTTAAGCCAGGATGAGAGGCACTGTGCAGGAAGTGGGCTCAGGAGATAGGTCTCCATATCCAACTCTCCTTGGAGACTGGAGTTTATCACAGAAGGCTTCCCGCAAGAGGTGATGGCCAGGCTCATCATGAAAGATTTAGAGAGGTTATCCAGGTAGATTCTGGAGGAAGGACCCTCCAAGCACTCAAGGAGCTTATGGTCTATTTGAAATGAACAGAAAACATGCGTGAGATTTCGAAGGGTTGAAAGCCCTGGGCTGTGAATCCAAAGACCTGGCTGAGTCCTGGTTTGCTCATGTGCGTTGAGCACTGCTGTGTGCAGATCCTGGGATGGGCTCTGGGGAGATGACAGAGAACCGGGCAGGTATGGTCTTTTCTCTTTCAAAGATCCAAGGGTCTAGCGGAGGAGGTAGTGAGCCAGGCTTGGTAAGGATTAGGGTCCGCTCTTAGCCTTGGCTCTGCGGACTCGTGGGGCTGGATCAGCCTTAGTCACAGGGCTGTCCCGTGCATTGCAGGATATCTAGTGGCATCCCCAGCCTCTACCTACTAAATGCCAGCAGTGCCCTGTCCCCAACTGCGGCAGCCAGAGTGTCTCCAGACATTGTCAGGCGTCCCAAGTGGGGTGCATGTGTGTGTGTGGGTGCACAAGCATACGCAAAGTCACCCTCACTTGAGAACCAGCAGGGGTGGGGAAAGGCCACACAGATGGCAGAGGTCGCTTCACCCACATCCCATCCTCTCTCTGGATCTGATTCCCCCTGTAGCAGCAGTTGCTGGGACCACATTAAGTCCAGACTTCCCTTCAGAGCCTCGAGTCTGCGATATTCAGCGTCACCATGGGATTCTGGTTACAAAGGCCTTTTGGGGACAAACAGGGTGCGACATAGCCTGGATGTAAACCAAACAGGAACAGACCCTCCACAGCAGCTTCTGGCTTCTTTGGCTAATGATCATATTCATATTTTCAAGGTTCATCCATGTTGTAACCTATTTCAAAATTTTCTTTTTATGGCTAAATAATATCCCATGATATGTCTGGAACACGTTGTGCCTGTTCATCCATCGCTGGACACAGGCTTGCTGTCAGCTTTTGTCTATTATGAAAATGCTGCTCTGAACACGGGTATACCAGTATACCAGCGGGACGAAGGGTGGGAGTAAGATACAGCTAGAAGGCGTCCACTATTTTTCTCTTTCAAGCTGTGCCGCATAGGGGGATGGGGGGGACCTTTCAGAGAGAGGGGAGCCACCAGGGAGGGGCAGGCTGGAGAAACACTGATGAGTTCCGCCTGGACATGTGGAGTTGGAGAGGCCTATGGGGCCGGGTGTGGCTGGCTCACCCAAGTGGCCTCAGCAGTACCTGGCACATAGTAGGTGCTCAGTAAACACTTGCAGAACACATGGATGACCTCTTTACTTCCTGAGTAACCCAGAGTCTCCTTGAAGGCAGAAGTGGAGGCATCTGTGTATGAGCCACCTCCATCTCCAGGGTCCCAGCAGAGAAAAGGGTGAACAGGAGGCTCCAGCAAACAATAGGTGGCTCAGGGACCCTGCTGCCAGGAAGCTGGAGTCACAAAGCCAGGTTGACCACCCTCCGTCCTCTGCCCACAGAGGCTCCAGCGAGAGAAGAAGCCCAATAACTTGAACGATACCATCAAGGAGCTGTTCCGAGTGGTGCCTGGGAACGTGGACCCCCTGCTGGAGAAGCGGTTGGTGGGCTGCCGGCGCTGTGCTGTTGTAGGCAACTCGGGCAACCTGAGAGAGTCTGCGTACGGGCCTGAGATAGACAGTCACGACTTTGTGCTCAGGTAAGTGCCAGGCCCTCTTCCAAGCTCACCAGGTTGTACCCAGAGGCCCCTTGTATCTGTAGGAAGCGTCTTGGCTCAGGCTCACAAAGTCGAGGTTCAGTCCTGGTGTCTCTGGACACATTGCACCTCCTGGGCCCCAGTTTCCCCATCTCTGCCTTGCAGGATGGGAATGGACTAGAAAGGCTTTTGTGTGCAGAGAGGAAACCACACATGGGAGGTCCCCCATTGTTGAGGGGTCCCCCATTGTTGGGAGCTTGGCATGTGGAGGCCTGGGAAGAGGGAAGAAATTATGTGAGTACTCTTATTTTATCTTCAAAATTCACCCCCATTTTGCCGGGCTGGTGGCGTATGCTTGTAATACCAGCACTTTGGGAGGCCAAGGCAGGCAGATCGCCTGAAGTCAGGAGTTCGAGACCAGCCTGACCAACATGGAGAAACCCCGTCTCTACTAAAAATACAAAAAAAAATTAGCCAGGCGTGGTGGTGTGTGCCTGTAGTCCCGGCTACTTGGGAAGCTGAGGCAGGAGAATCTCTTGAACTCAGGAGGCAGAGGTTGCAGTGAGCTGAGATCACGCCACTGCACTCCAGCCTGGGTGACAGAAAGAGACTCTATCTAAAAAAAAAGAAAACCCAAAAACAAAAAAACAATTATCCCCAATTTGGAATCTAGGCCATAATAAAACCAAATAAAAACCACATCTTCTAGTAAAATGTATTTTACGTGGCCAAGTGAAATAGATACTCCAGGAGGATGCCCCAAGCCTTTCCTGGGTTTCTTGCCATTCCCACCACACCACTCACAAGTGCTGCATGCTGAGAAGCTTGGCCTTCTGGAATAGTGTCTCCTGTCTGTGATTCCTGACTTTAGTCCTCAAACCTGCCTCTCGGAGCCTCAGTGTACCAAGTATCCCATGGGAATGTCCATGATCAGGATCGGAGTTGGGTTTCCTTGACTCTAAAAGCAAGCTGTGGGAATAGCCGTTGGATGAGATTGTCTGCAGTTGGAGAAAGAGAAGCTGGTTAATGGGCAGGGGCTGGCCCAGGAACTTGGAAGCACAGCTCTGGGGGTAGCAGCTGGAGAACGAAGCAGAGTGGCCTCTCCTGCCCCGGACTCCTTCCCTCAGGGACCTGCACCTCCCTACCCTAGTCGGGTTTCTACTCACAACAACCCCTGAGAGACACAAGAGGGCAGCCTTGCCTAGTTCGAGGATGTCCTGCGGGGTTTGGGCCCCATTGAAGGCTAGCTGTGTCTTCATTGTCTCTATTTTACAGATGAGGAAACTGAGGCCTAGGAAAGGCAGGTGACTCCCCTGAGTTCACAGCAGGCTGGTGGAGCCCAGGCTGTCTGAGATCGGCTGCCCATGCTACACGACTCAGCTCTTCCCCCTTCTCCCCACAGGATGAACAGGGCACCCACGGCAGGGTTTGAGGCTGACGTCGGGACCAAGACCACCCACCATCTGGTGTACCCTGAGAGCTTCCGCGAGCTGGGGGACAATGTCAGCATGGTCCTGGTGCCCTTCAAGACCATCGACTTGGAGTGGGTGGTGAGCGCCACCACCACGGGCACCATTTCCCAGTGAGTCCCCTGAGGCCCCGCCTCGCTGCTCCACCCCTGCAGTGGCACCCAGTCCCGCCACCCTGCCATGCTGTCTGTCCACCAGGGTGCCTCCCCTCCCGCAGCCTCCCCCGACACACACAAACCCAGTTCCCGTGGCCGCCTCCCCGACTTTTCCAACTCTCCCCTGTCCCCTCCCAATAACTTAAAACACAAGCTTTAGTGTCCTGCTGCTAACAATTCCTGAAGGGACCTCCACATGCCCAGGAAGGGGGCCTCCACTAGAAAGGGTCGCACATGTGGTTCTGCCTCCCTTTATTTCTGAAGTGCACCCTCACAGTAACAGCACCTAGCTTTTCTTCTTTGTCTTTTTATTTTTTTCACTTTTTGTGGAGAAGGGGGTCTCACTATATTGTCCAGGTAGGTCTGGAACTCCTGGGCTCAAGCTATCCTCCTGCCTCTGCCTCCCTAAGAGCTGAGGTTACAGACATGAGTCACCGCACCTGGCAGCACCTCGCTTTCCAAGCTTCCGTGAGCCTAGCCCGGTGCAGGTTGAAGAATGGGGGGTGGGGGTGCAGTTGCAGCCTGGGCTCCTCCCCTGGGCAGACGGTGCTGAGCAAGGTGGCTGTGGCTTCCCTGACGGTCAGGCGCCGCACAGGGCACTCAGCACAAGTAATCGCAGTTCATCCCCACAATAACCATTATCATGAGCTCCATTCTCCCAGGGAGGACTCTGGAGCTTGGCCAAGTGCCTTGCCCAGGGTCGAACCCACAGTTCCCTTGCTCTCATCTGACCCTTACTGAAGGAAAGTGCTTTGATACGTGGAATTTCACAGGCCATCTTAACTTTGGCCAGGTTTCCTAGGAACAGGGCCACAGTGAATCCCAGCCCCAGGACTTGGGTGCAGGAGACTGTGGGGCTGTGCCCTCAGGAGACCAGGAGTGAGGGAGGCAGCCCGGCCGGGGTGGGGTGGGGTGGAGCCAGGTCCGGATGTGGCTCAGCAGAAGTCTCCGGGAGCATGAATTGCACCCGTGGGACCAGCTTCGACACCTTTGGCTGGGGGTGCACACAACCGCCCAGGTGAGAAAGGGGCAGTGAGGGCCTCCCCAGCCAGGTTCCCAGCATCTGAGCAGGGGCACTCTGGCCCTGAGAGGTCGAGGCACCCCGAACCCCACTCCTCTCCTTCAGGCTATGCTTGGAGCAAGTCTTCCTCACCTTTTTGGGGAATGGGGCCCAAACCCAGCAGGACATCCTCAAATTAGGCAAGGCTGCCCTCTTGTGTCTCTCAAGGGTTGCTGTGGGTAGAAACCCGACTAGGGTAGGGAGGTGCAGGTCCCCGAGGGAAGGAGTCCGGGGCAGGAGAGGCCACTCTGCTTCGTTCTCCAGCTGCTACCCCCAGAGCTGTGCTTCCAAGTTCCTGGGCCAGCCCCTGCCCGTTAACCAGCTTCTCTTTCTCCAACTGCAGCACCTACGTCCCGGTCCCTGCGAAGATCAGAGTGAAACAGGAGAAGGTGAGTGGAGGCCCAGACCCCTGTTCTGAGTTCAGGCTTCCTTGCCTAAGGCTCTGCTCTATAGTACAGCTTCGAGTTTCAAGACAGACCCAAGATCCCCAGGCCGCTGGAGGGCAGCATCTCCCACTTAGCCTGGGGGAAGAAGTCAAATACTGGGAGAGATTCTCAAAGTGGGGGCCCCAGGTCAGCAGCATCACCCACAAGCTTGTCGCAGAGGCAAATCCTAAGGCCCTGTCTCGAACCTGCTGAACCCAGCTCAACCCCAGGTTCTGGCCTTTAACAAGGTCTCCGGGACGCCCTATGCATGCTGCGGTTTGTGAATTACTCTCAAAGCCAGCACCTCACCTCCTGCCTCTCTGAGTCTTTCCATGTCTGCATCTTCCCCAGCAGGCCCCTGGTGTGGGGTTGGCAAGAGATAAGAAAAGAGCAGAAGAAGGAGGGAAGTGAGGTGCCCATCACACTGGCCCTTCACATATACTATCAAACCTAGGCTCAGAGAGGTCAGGAAACTTCCCGGAGACACACAGCTAGTTCTGGATGAGCCTAGAACTGAAGACGCCCTGTGCCTCCAGCATCTTGCCCTTTGCATTGAGTTGTGCTGCCTCAGGGAAGAAGCGGCTTATGTATCTCTGTAGCGTGGGGCTGGTGGAAGGGACAGCCTCCTGGAGATGGTAGGAGGCCACACTGAGAGGTGAATGGTACACCAGAGACCCGCGTAATCCATGCTTGCAGTCCATTCCTAGGCAATGGAGTTTGGCTTTCTGGATGTGCACGCCCTCTCCTGCCTGACAAGTCCCTTTCACTGTCCTCAAGGCAGGCTTTGGGTAGTGGAACCAAGGCCAGGCCTGATACCGGCCCCCTCCCAGCTCAGCCACTTCTGGCTGTGTGACACTGAGCATGTCACTTCCCCTCTCTGAGCCTGTTTTCTTATCTGTAGTATGAAGAGAGGGAAACCTGGGACATGGGGTTATTTGAAGGACTGGTGATGATTCCAGCCATTACCAGGTGGCTTGGCGTGTGTGTCTTCACTCACGGACAGTGTCTGCTCGCGTTGCGTGCTGTTCCCTGGCTCCCCATCTTCCTGAGCAGCCTCTCATCCCGATCCCTGGCCTCCTTGGATTTTTCTATGTGTCAGCTCAGCAGTCATCCTCACATGGTCCTGTATGGCCCTTCCCTGCGTTGTTGCGCTCCAAAGCACCTATCAGCTCAGCATCTCTGTCTCTTAGTGTGTGGATGAGTGTCCGTCTTTCCTACAAGTGCAGAAGCCCAAGAGCGCCGGGGTATCCATCAGGCTCATGGCAGTGTCTCCATGGCCAAGACAGCATGTGCATCTGATGGGCGCTCATGTCTTTAGCCCGCCAGAACTCACTAAGGGCCATGTCTTCCCCTCCCCACAGATCCTGATCTACCACCCGGCCTTCATCAAGTATGTCTTCGACAACTGGCTGCAAGGCCACGGGCGGTACCCATCCACCGGCATCCTCTCGGTCATCTTCTCAATGCACGTCTGCGATGAGGTATGCCGCCCTCCCCCTGCCCGCCGGTCTGCTCAGAGGACGGAGCTCACCAGCCTGTGTTCCCAGGAGAGGCCAGGGAGAGGGAGGGCAGGTAGACCTAGCCTGCCTCTTCCAGAAGCTCGGGTTCCCTGTCTCTATGACAGGGCTTGCAATGTGTGCCTCCTAGGTGTTTTAGGGAGTCACGGTGCTCTATGAGAAAGTTCTCAGGAGCGAGAGTTCTGGCACGTTATGTGTGAGTGCTCATGACCATGGTGGTAGAAGCTCAGGTCTAGCAGCAGATTCAGGATACAGGAGTTGATCCTCATAGAGGAAGTTGTCTAAGGCTATGGTTCTCAATCCCACTCGCTCCTTAGAGTCTTCTGTGGGTCTAAGTTCCAGCACCCAGGCCACACCCTGGCCCAGTTTTACCAGAACTAATGGGAGCCAAGCACCCAGGGGTTCTACTCTCTACCAAGGTTGAAACCATTGATCTCAAGAAGCACGCATTTCCCTTTCGATGTCCTTCGCCGTCCACCATGCTGTGTTCAGGTTTCCACTGATGCTCTGACAGGCTTGCTGCCACCCCAGGGAGAGGAGCAGGAGGGCAGGTCACACAGCCCCCACCTCCTCCGTGACCCTGGATTCAGGCAGGGTCCTTTTGTGTCTCATTCAGCCCAGCCCCAGCCCCACCCTGCCTGGTGCCTGGTGGAAATCCCAGGAAGGGGTCAGAGGCATTGTAAGGCAGGTTCCCAGGTAAAAGCATGGGTGTCCCTATCATCTCCACACACCTCCAGCCAGCTGGTCCCAGACCTATACTTGGGGTTCTGCTCAGAGCCCTTTTCTTTCATCGCTGTCACCTGTTTGGCACTCATGTCCCTGCCCGGGTGTGAGCCTGTGTCTATGTTGCATTTCCTGAGAAAGCCACATGTGACATGGAGCTGTCCACTGCCCCCTCTCTGTCCCCACCCCTCCAGTCTGTCCTCCACACTGCAGTCCAGGTAGCACATCCTCTCCCTGGAAACCCCTCCATGTGGTTCCTTCTGGTCATTTTGTACTCATTTTCCAAGACCCGACCCAAATGCCACCTCCTCTGAAGAGCTTCCTCTGACCTCTGCGGGGGGGGCTCACTCCTCAGTGCTGTGGGAGTTCTGAATTTAGATCCAGTTCCAACAAGGACTGCTCAGTCAGTGACTCCCATCAGTTACAAGCTCCAAGGCAGCTTATCCCAGCAGCTGCCCAGCTGGCATCGGATGAGGTCTGCCTGAACTTCAGTACAGCCAGCAGGGTGCTTGGCTCCGAATAAATCCACAGTGTTTGTCATGTGTGTGAGGGCGCCTGGACCACATAAGTGTCGGCCTCAGAGAAGAAAGGGATTAGCCCTGCCTTCTGCCTCATTTCAGTCGTGATTCTTGGACACATTTTCCAGATGAGGAAAGTGGCACTCAAGTGATTTCACATGCTCAGGGCACCATGGAGTGGCAGAGCTGGGATTTGGGGTGATTTGCTTGGCTCCAAAGTCTGCCTTCCTTCCACTCTCCTCCATTCTATTCTCTCCTTCTTCCCACTGTAGCTCCTCAACCCCAGGAGAACAGGGCGCACTTGCTGCAGACGTGAGGCCCAGGCCCCTAAGGCCACCCACATGCAGTAATCCCTCAGGGCGCCTTCTGACATTGAACTTGAGTTTTACTTAACTCGAATTTGCTTCACCAAGCCTCTGACAGTTGCAGGAATCAAGAGAATGGTTAATGATGGGTTAACCTGAGTCCTTGGGAATGCTGTTTGTGGTCCTGTGGGATTCCAGGAACGCAGGCAGGCTTCCTTTCTCAGAAGCACCACCAGCAGCCCTGCTGTCTGGTTCTCACCTGTGCTCTGCCCCCACAGGTGGACTTGTACGGCTTCGGGGCAGACAGCAGAGGGAACTGGCACCACTACTGGGAGAACAACCCGTCCGCAGGCGCTTTTCGCAAGACGGGGGTGCACGATGCAGACTTTGAGTCTAACGTGACGGCCACCTTGGCCTCCATCAATAAAATCCGGATCTTCAAGGGGAGATGACGCAGGGAAGGGTTGAGGATCGACGCACCGTCACACCTCTGTGTTTCCAGCCCAGCACCTTGCCGGAGCCATTCCACCCTGGAGCTTGGAGGGCCAGCCTCAGCTATGTGCCTGGGCGACACCTGCAGCCTCTTGCACCCAGCTGTTGGCAGCATCTACTCAGCAAGGTCACTGAGCTCTGCCAGCATGGCAGAGCACATCTCAGAACCTGTCTTAGGTGGGGACAATGTCCCCCCACTGCTGCCCCAGAGCTGGGGAGATGCTGGGAAAGGTTCAACCTCCACACACTAAAATTACTTTGGCTCCTGGGGTGGGCTTGGGAAACACATGTAGAAGACACCCATATTCTGAGAGACAGGATGGTTTTCCAAGGAAGGGGGCCAGAGAGACTTGAGTGGCAGTTACCTCCAGCACAGAGACATGCCGGGCGGTGTTGGCACTAGGGGCAAGATGCTGCCCTTCTTTGCACGAAGCCTGGCCTCTTGCTTGGCATGATAACCCTGTCATCTTCTTTCCAAAGCTCATTTATGAGCCACCAGAGGCTCCTACCCCAAAGATTTTCACAGAAGCTTGAGGCCAGGTGCCATGGCTCACACCTGTAATCCCAGCATTTTGGGAGGCCAAGGTGGGAGGATTGCTTGAATGCAGGAGTTCAAGACCAGCCTAGGCAACATCGTGAGGCTCCTGTCTCTACAAAAATAAAAGGTTAAAAAAAAAAAATTAGCCAGGCATTGTGGCACAAACTTATAGCCCCAGCTACTAGGGAGGTTGAGGAGGGAGGATCTCTTGTGCCTAGGAGTTCAAGGCCACAGTAAGCTGTGATCACACCATTGCACTCCAGCCTGGGCAACAAAGTGAGACCCTGCCTCTGAAAAACAAAAGAAAGAAAAAATAACAATGTGGCGCCGTGTTTCTGACTCCTCCAGATGCCTCTTCTTACACAGATGTTCCTCTGAGTAGTCAGTCTCGTGGTTCTAATCATGGCGAGAGCGAATCTGACCACTCCCATGTGCCTTTGTATTTGGGGAAGAAACACGTACATTGGCTGAAATGAGGCAAAAGCTCCCACTTGGGAAAAGGGACCTGCACTGGCGGCCGCACTTGCTCTGTAGCTGGGATCATCTTTTCTGGTTTCCTGAGCCAGCACCTGAATTGGAACAGAGCTCTGAGGATACTCAGCACCACCCAGGAGCACGTCAGAATGGAATGTACGTTCTCATTCTCAGACTGTTCAGTATGGTGCCCGTAACCTCCAAGACCGCACAGGAGGCCTGCAGCAGCATTTTCCCTGAAGGCCTGAGCTCAGGGTCAAGTCCCTGCTGGCCATCTTGGGGCTGTCACTGGGGTCTGGGCCAGGTACATCCCAGGAATTGTGACTGGCTCATACCTCATCTTCTCATTCCCCGGCTACTCTCTTTTCCTCATTAGCCTTCCTGATTATTTATTGATTTTTTAAAAATTCAACTGACATTGTTTCACCCTGGCTCTGCTGGTGGTGCCGGTGTTTTAATGAAGTTTGCCTCACCCAGTAGCTGGGAAATGGGGGATCTATGGGAGGTTTGTCAGAGTCCTCGGACTTGGGCTATTGGGGCATCTAGGGTTTGGATGGTTTGCGGAATGTCCGCAGCATCCTCGTCCTAACCCAGCCTTCCTTCTTCCTTGTCGTGGACTTGCATTCATTCTCAGGCTCGGAGTCTCCAAAACTCCGTGAAACCTCATTGCTGCTGGGTGGAGAGTGGAGAGCCACAGGCATGCAGGGACGATGATGGTTGGCTCCAGTTACCCATGTTTAAGCAGAAAAACTACTTTTCTTGCTGAAAATATCTCTGAAAAGGCCGCTGCTGCTTTGTGGGGCATGACCTTTTCCTGGTGATGTGAAGGAGGCAGGGAGCCTGTGCTACCAGGCTCGGGGGAGCCCCCTCTGCACACTGGGAGGGAGGAGCTTGAGGGTATCAGTCGTGGGTCACAGGCGGCTTCAGGCCATTCACAGGAGTCCCTGGAAGTTGCAGGCCAAGTTTGTTTTTTTCCCTGAATCTCTTCATATGAGCATTTTTCTGGAGAGAGTTCCATAGATTTTATTAGGTTCTCAAAGGTTCAGAATGTGGAGTGTGTTAGACAAACAAAAAACCTGTTTCAGCTTTAAAATCCTCCAAACTTTAAGACTATGTTTTTTCTGAGAAAGGCTGGTAAGTCGCTGAGTCATCATTCAGAACATGGGCAGAGCTCACAGCCATACATGACGTGAAGAACTCAGCAAACGTTTGTTGAGTGGCCGAGTAACCCCAGGTACGGACTCCAGATAATCAGACACTGATAGAGAGAGCGATTCTGCTTCTGAACTCTTCCAGCAAACCTCCGAAAACAAGTAAAAAGAAACCAAAAGCTGAGTCTGTATAGGGACGACAGGCTCAGGCTGAGCAACTGACGTCTGGGTTTTGCTGTGTAAGAACAGTTTCCTCAAAGTGAAGATGCGTCTGTGCCTGACCCAGACGCTGCCTGGGTCAGTCATCTGGTCTCCATCTGTTCTCCCTCCCTCCCACTAGGATGTTCAAGCTGTGAGATCTCTTCCAGCCTCCAAACCCAGCTCTCCCATTTTACTGATGAGAAAATCAAGGCCACATTGCAGCCAGGTAGGGGGCGGAGAGTGACAGGCACAGACGACAGTAATTGTTGACTCTAGTTACTGATGTTTAATCAGAAAAACCAGTTTTCCTGTCAAGCACATTTGTTAAAAGGCTGCTGTGTACTGGGAGGTATGAGGCCTTTTCCTGGTGGAGTGTGAAAGAGGAAGTGATGGGCAGTCGTGAACTGTCTGGGACAGATAGCGCAAGTCAGAGTTTGAGCAGAAACAGGGTGTTACTGGCGCTGTGTTTAAATTGTCTGCAGATGGTCTTTCCCCGTGAGTCTCCATTCAGTATCTCAAAACAGTGTAAACAGAACGGGGTGCCTGACTCTCCCGTGCTAGGTTAGCACGGAGCTCTGTCTGCAGGCTGCCAAGGCGGCCTCGTCTCTGCCTTCTCACGCCCTCCAGTGCAGGAGAACGCATTTCTCTTTCCCATAGCCCAGCAAACATCTCTTATGTTACATTGGCTTAGCAATGGGCCCTTGATGGAATAAAAGCAAGTTGTTGTGGCCAGATTTAAATACACCAGTTTGGCTTAAACCAGCTGGAACTCATACCTGGGGTGCAGGTGGCTGGGAATTAGACAACAGTGTATGTTAGACAAAGGGCACCATGCGTGCTGTCAGCTGGAGAACCAGGAGCACTTGTACTGGGCAGGCAGCAGCAGGAGGCTCCCTCAGGCCCCTGAATCTGAGCTTATGGCTCTTTCTTCTCCAGGCAGAATTCCTTGGAGACCAGCCCTGAGCTCAGGCAGGAAGCAGAGGGGTCCCTGAGCTCAGGCAGGGAGCAGAGGGGTCCCTGATCTCAGTCAGGGAGCAGAGGGGTCCCTGATCTCAGGCAGGGAGCAGAGGGGTCCCTGCCTGTAGCACCCAGAGCTGAACCTGAAGCTACAAAGACGGGCTGATGAGCCAGCCCATGAGGTCTCCCCAGTGAGTCAGGGTGCTGATTTGCTATAGCTGGAGCTACATGCACCTCCCCTCCCCTCAGCCACTTTTTAGGGGAGAAAGGAGGGCAGATTTGTATCCTCTGGCTCTGCAGGGATTCTGGGCTGGAAGAAAGTTCATAAACGGATGAATCCCTTTTAAAACTGGCTTTTCCAAGCATCATTCAGCAAAGCACTTGGCTAGGCTTAGAGAGAAAAGCCAGGTATGAGGAAATAGAAAGTAAAATAGCAAAAAAAAAAAAAAAAAAAAAAAAAAGGAAGGTGGAAAGGGCAGTTAAGATCTGGGTGATCCTTTAGGGAAAGGGCTGGTTGAGAGGCTTAGATGGAATCCTATTCTCTGCTGTGGCCAGAAGGCGGTGCTAGAGGCTGGTCCCACCTGGATGTGACTGGTCTCTTGGCAAAGATGGACTCAAACCACAGAGAACATTTAGTACAGGATGTTTGCTTTTAAGTAGTCTGAAAACAAGTGAAAGGGAAACCAAAAGAACTCACTGCCCCTCACCTGGCTAGGATCAAAAAGACTGTGCAGGGAAGCCCAAGCTCCGAGGGGCCACGGTCCAGCTAAAGGTGACAGGACACCAGCCACGCACCATCAGGAACCAGCACCTGTCCTCGCCCCTAGGAAGAGCCCGGGGGGTATCATTATATCCATCGCGGACATCTGGTTTGCAGCAAATGTGGCTCCATGCCACCAGGATCATCCTGCCCTGTGGACTGGGCTAGCCAGTTTTGAGATGGAGTCCACCTCCCTCTTAGTGTTTGTCATGAAAACACCAGCTCCTGCACCCCTGGGGTTCTACCTGACACCTGTGCAAAGAAAAGGAGGAAGGCTTCCAAGAAAGGGCAGAGGCAGGCAAGGCAGCATCTCACAGCTTGTCAGTATCAGGGCGTTACCGACTTTTTTTTTTTTTTCCTCACCAAAAGAGCACTGAATTTCCTAGGGACAGTGAGCCGCCTTTACACCTCCTATTCTCCCTCCCAGCCCATCAGGTGACCCCATCACCCAGCCTCATCAGTCAGCTCCTTCCTAGTACAAAACTGCCATCGGTTGCCCGTCCTGAGCTGTGGGACGTCAGCTTTAACCCTAGCCTCTGTCAGCGCCTCCCCCTCCAGCCCCCTGCCCCTTAGGGTGATCGTGGGTTTCTCCCTTCCTCCTGCACAGTCACTTCCCTTCACTGAATTCCCCTCAAAGCCAAAGTTTTTGAGCACTTTTTCTTCTGTGCAGTCTTGTGTGTGTGGCTGTTGGTGTTTTAAAAGTTGCTTTTTATTCTCCCCCACCGACCTGCCTCTCTCCGTGTCTTTGCGAAGCTGAGCACTGGTTGGGATGCATTCGAATGACGTTAGCAAGATCCTGCTTTACTCAACCCCCGCTCTGTTTTATTTATTGTTGAATATTTCCAATGATCCAAATCAAAGAGAATAAAAGGAAGAGCTATTTTATTGTTTGGGTGCGTTTGCTGTTTTTCTACAAGGGTCATGCATTTGCGCTGCCTTCAGCACTCCAGCTCAGAGGGCCTCCTGGGTTGGTGTCGCCACTACTGAATGCCCAGAATTCGGGAGACGGAGCAGAGCCCTAGTGTGGGTCTTGGAGAGGCCTCTTTTCAAGCCCAGGAGTGCCATTCCCTGCTGTGTGACGTTCCCTGCTGTGTGAGGGGCCTAAGGTCTCTGAACCTCAGCTGCCTGCTTCATGGGTCAAATGCTCATGACAACACTGACCATTGGAAAGATGTGATTAAAAACAAAAGCTCACACCTGTAATCACAGCACTTTTGGAGGCCAAGGCAGGTGAATCACAGAGTCAGGAGGTTGAGACCATCTGGCTAATGAAGTGAAACTTCGTCTCTACTAAAAATACAAAAATTAGCTGGGCATGGTGGCACGCACCTGTAGTCCCAGCTACTCGGGAGGCTGAGGCTGGAGAATCGCGTGAATCCAGGAGGTGGAGGTTGCAGTGAGCCAAAATCTCGCCACTGCACTCCAGCCTGGGCAACAGAGCGGGACTCCGTATCAAAAATAAAAATAAAAAAGCATCTCAAAAGGCCCAGCAGACATGCACCAGCTGCTTGAACGTTTGCTGAGTGAATTCGCCCTGGCCAGAACCTGATGTGGGCAGGGCTAGTGTCTGCCTTCCCCCAACAGAGGAAACAGACCTCTGTTCCCTCTGTGTTCCTGACAGAGACGGGCATACCCAGAAATGGACATGAGTCTGGTCCGAAGTTGACACTAATCTCCCTTTTAAAAAATACATGCAGAAACCCGATGTTGGGAGCCTGTAATATAAAATCAGTACAAACAGTAACGAGGCCTCCCAGTTTGTATGGCACACAGCATCTCCCTGGGCATGATCTTCAACTCTGGGAACAGCCTGGCAGGCTGGTGCATGGCTGAGGGCAGAGGTGGGTTCACAGCAAGGCACCTCTCCAGTCCCGGGCCTCCTGTCTGCCCTGCTACCTGCCCATTACTCTGTGCTTAGCAAAGACATTTCCTGAGTTATTTGAGACACTGGCTATGGGGACCTTCTGAGGGCAGCCCCCAGAGAAAGGATGGGGCAGAGATTCACACAGGCGCTCTGGAGCCAGGCCACCCGGGGTCCCACCTATTAGCTGTGTGAGCCTGAGCAAGTGACTTCACCTCTCTGTCTGGTCTCCTGATTGATGAATTTGGGATGATGTTATATCTATATCTAAATACGCGTAAAGGATTAAATGAGTTAACATACGCAAAAGGCTCACAACAACGTTAATTATTAGTACATCAGACACGGGAGCAGAGAAGAAGCTGTCTGCAAAACTGAGACGAATGGCAAGGCTCTACTGGGGAGCCCGGTCTGTTTCCCTCCCCCACTCCCCCCTTCCCCAATCCCCCATGCTGTCCTGCTCCTGCCCCTGCCGAGGGCCTTCATGCTGCCCTGTATCTTCCCCACGTTGTTTCCTCAACTGTAGAGTTCCCTTTCCTCCTTGCCCCATCACTTCTCTGTCCTCTCCCTACAGGAGCCTGCCGTCGCCTGGCGTTAACACGCTCTCCCACTGCTCCATTCTTCTTTTTTTTTTTTTTTAATTTTTTATTGGATTTTAGGTTTTGGGGTACATGAGCAGAGCATGCAAGACAGTTTGCGTAGGTACACACATGGCAGTGTGCTTTGCTTTCCTTCTCCCCTTCACCCACATTTGGCATTTCTCCCCAGGCTATCCCCCCCACCTCCCCCTCCCACTGGCCCTCCCCTTTCCCCCCAATAGACCCCAGTGTTTAGTACTCCCCTTTCTGTGTCCATGTGTTCTCATTTTTCATCACCCGCCTATGAGTGAGAATATGCGGTGTTTCATTTTCTGTTCTTGTGTCAATTTGCTGAGGATGATGTTCTCCAGATTCATCCATGTCCCTACAAACGACACAAACTCATCATTTCTGATTGCTGCATAATATTCCATGGTGTATATGTGCCACATTTTTCCAATCCAGTCTATTATCAATGGGCATTTGGGTTGATTCCAGGTCTTTGCTATTGTAAACAGTGCTGCAATGAACATTCGTGTACATGTGTCCTTATAGTAGAACGATTTATAGTCTTTTGGATATATACCCAGTAATGGGATTGCTGGGTCAAATGGAATTTCTATTTCTAAGGCCCTGAGGAATCGCCACACTGTCTTCCACAATGGTTGAACTAATCTACACTCCCACCAACAGTGTAAAAGTGTTCCTTTTCCTCCACATCCTCTCCAGCATCTGTTGTCTCCAGATTTTTTAATGATCGCCATTCTAACTGGCGTGAGATGGTATCTCAATGTGGTTTTGATTTGCATCTCTCTGATGACCAGTGACGATGAGTATTTTTTCATATGATTGTTGGCCTCATATATGTCTTCTTTCATAATGTGTCTGTTCATATCCTTTGCCCACTTTTGAATGGGCTTGTTTGTTTTTTTCCTGTAAATCTTTTTGAGTTCTTTGTAAATTCTGGATATCAGCCCTTTGTCAGATGGGTAAACTGCAAAAATTTTTTCCCATTCTGTTGGTTGCCGATTCACTCTAGTGACTGTTTCTTTTGCCGTGCAGAAGCTGTGGAGTTTCATTAGGTCCCATTTGTCTATTTTGGCTTTTGTTGCCAATGCTTTTGGTGTTTTGTTCATGAAGTCCTTGCCTACTCCTATGTCCTGGATAGTTTTGCCTAGATTTCCTTCTAGGGTTTTTATGGTGCCAGGTCTTATGTTTAAGTCTTTAATCCATCTGGAGTTAATTTTAGTGTAAGGTGTCAGGAAGGGGTCCAGTTTCTGCTTTCTGCACATGGCTAGCCAGTTTTCCCAACACCATTTGTTAAACAGGGAATCCTTTCCCCATTGCTTGTTTTTGTCAGGTTTATCAAAGATTATATAGTTATAGATATGTTGTGTTGCCTCCGGTGCCTCTGTTTTGTTCCATTGGTCTATATCTCTGTTTTGGTACCAGTACCATGCTGTTTTGACCACCGCTCCATTCTATTGGAGAGACAGCCTCCCCCAAATTCGCTCCTGGTTGGCCTCACATTACACCTGCAATGTGGACCAGCAGCCACGAGGTGGCGCTATGCTGCATAGGCCCCGCCGCCCACTTTTTCAGGGCAGCTCTGCAGGGTTCTAGTGCCCGGCCGCTCCTCACACCCTGGTCTCAAGCCAGAGCCATGGCCAGGGAAATAAATCGTCAGTGTCCTCCTTGGAGAGCCCCAAAAGTCTAAAGGCATTCCTCCAGGGCGCCCCGGCACCTGCCTGGATACTGCGACCACAGCCAAGGCACATCTGCACCCACCCCTCCCCCAAATGCACATCCTCCCAAGATTTGGCCCCCAGCCCTGGGAAGTCCTAGGAATACCCCCGAGGCTGCTCCAAACGCATGCTTGGCCGTCAACAAAAAGTGAAGGGAGTAAAAAGAAGTTCCCAAGTGGGACTTTCCGATTTCCTCTTCACTTTCCCAGGATGTGTAATGTGCACCGGGATTGGAGGGAGAGTGAGGCGACCCTGTTGGCTAGTTCTCTAGATCCAGCCCCGGCTAGCGTTTCCCGTTCACGTCCCGTCGTTTTTCTTTTCTCTCTGGTTGCCGATGGCCCAGTGACCAGGGGTGAGCCTGAGGCCGCCGCTCTGCCCTTGACTGTGAGTGAGCACCTCCCAGGCCCGGCCTGACCAGTGTCACCCTGCAGGGTATGGGCTGGGAGAGGGTGAGAGGGCCCTGTCCTCCAGCATCCAGTCATGCGGGCCTCCCCGCTTGTCCTCCTACTGCCTTTGGCAAGTAGTTTATTCACACAGGATTTACTGAATGCCATAAAGGGAAATTTGTGTACCCTCAGAGGCTCCTCCTCGCTAGGGGACAGAGGACATTTGAGGCAAGCCAGGAGACCGATGTCCTAGGAGACCTGGAGAGGAAATGCCTACTGATTCTCCAGACCTTCCACATCTGCGGGGCAGGGGACAGTCTCTGCTGCTTCAGTTGCTTCATTCAAGAACTCTGGGGGTCAGGTTCAAACACCTGCAGGATATCCCCCTGATGACATTCCCTGAACAAGTGATGGTAACAATGTATCCCTCTGCCCTGCCCTCCCTCCCTCTGATGGCTGCCCTGGGCCTGTCCATTCCTGGAGAACAAGGCGAAGCCTTGTACACTTGTCAGATTCAAAGCCCTCCTCGTCATTTTCAGCTGAAACTTGAGATCCTCGGTGTCCATGAATTCCAGGTTTCCTGTTTCTCAGACATGCCGGCTCTTAGTGCCCCCCTGCCCACTATCTTGTGAGCACTTGACTCCAATCTTACTGCTGTAGACCGAGCCGTGCCCCCCACGCATATGTTGAAGCCCTCAGATTCTGTTGGGGTGGTATTTGGAGATGGGGCCTTTGGGAGGTCATTAGGGTGTGAGGAATCGATGGGGGTTCCTATGATCAGGTTATGAGGGGCCCCAGAGACTTCTTTACCATGTGAGGCCCCAGTGAAAGGCAGCCATCTGCAGCCAGGAGGAGGGGCCTCCCGAGAACTCAGCCATGCTGGCTCCCTGAGCCCAGACTTCCTGCCTCCAGAACTGTGAGAAGATACATTTCTGTTTAAGTCACTGATCTACGGTGTTTTTTAATGGTAGCCCAAGCTGACTCACATGCCCATACTAACACTGCCACCACTTCACAGAGTGGGGGACCTCAGGCAGGCAAGTGCCTTGGCCTCTTTGAGTTTCCTCCCTCAAAATATAGAAGTAATAGTAATACTTGACCTGAGAGGCTGCTGAAAGGGGTAGACTAATGACCCATGTCTGTCAAGCAGGGGACATACACGAGCAGGTCACACATGGTGGTCAAGGAGTGAGCTGGGTGCAGAGAACCATCTCCCTCTCCCCAACTACCTTAGACTTCGTAGAGGTGTCTCCCTAAACCCCCCGAGGACGTCAGGTCCATTCTTTTCTGGTTCCCTTGGACCTGCACCTCTTGCAGGTG